AAGTTTAGATTGTATGAAATGTTTAATTATGTGTTAGCTTTCTGACTTAGATTATTTACTGATTTCACTTGTAATATATTTATTATTGAATATTTAAGCGAATCGCTGTTGTAAATTATCATACAACTTAAGTGTCGTGTATCATATTCGCTTGATGTGAGTTAGTTTCTTAGTGATGTCAGATATTTTTCTTGATGTTATTTTCATCTGTTTTACGCTATGACATCAAATCTGAGTGATGATTATTTCATAGGTATTTTGTTGTTTTTGAGAATGGTGGGTTTGTAATTAAATATTGCGGTAAAATTCAAGATTTAAGTATAATTTGTAGTGCATATTCTCTGAATCGCTGTCTGTTGTTAGAAACTAGCACATAGTTATCTAAATTAAACGTAGAATACCGCTCAATTTAAAAAGTGACTATTCAGTCACAGCTCAAGTCAAGTAAATGACATGATTTATATTTATGAATCTTAAAATGCTCGCCGTGAGTTTTAGTGTAGGAATGTTGGTATCCTAGAGCAAGAATTATTCGTATCGGAAGAGATGAGTATTTTTATTCTTTCATACATATGTATACATCTGTTCTCAATAATCCTCCTAAATTTGTTAATAGTGATACTAATTACCATACAAACTGACAACTGAATAGATTGTGTTATGTTTCCCGAACAATGAACATTGCACTAGCTAAAGTTAGTATCAACTCACAGTAGTGAAAATAAAATGCCTAAGGAAGACATTTCTCAATAAATTTATTTTAATTCAGGAATAAAAAACCTTTTAAAAAAACAAAATAAAATTCATTTGCATTGGTTGTTTGAATCCTCCCATAGATGTTTAGAACTGCAATTAATCAGTCTAATTAGCAAAACATTATCAAATTTCTGTATACTGTTTCTGCATACCATCACTATTAGTTACCAAAACATAAGTATTTATTAATTGTTTTAATAGACTTATCATGTTAAATACTTCTAATCTGTTTACTTTATCGTCAAATCTACGCAAAACCTCTGTTCAGGAAGTCAGTTTGATAATTTTGGCTGTAATACTGAGTGACAGATCACTTGAAAATCAACTAATCAATAAATATACATCAATCAGAAATCAAATTTGATTATTTTCACTGCTCAGTTACATAGATTCTGTGGTAAAATACTATTTATCAATACTTGATGCCAGTTAAGTCATTTTGCGGTTAATTAGTTGATTTAAATATTAGCCGAGTTTAGTTTGTATCGAATTTTATCTTCCAGAAAACATTTTACGATGAATGATCTATGTAGTAACCATGTTTAATTTTCTTCAAATAATTCTAATGTTTAAACTTGCCTCTTTTAACTGTTATTCAGTAAATGAAATGAATTTTCAGGGCATTTAATTATGTGTCAAATAATTTAGAGAAAAAGCAATACACACAAAAAAACAGAACAAGAAAACAAAAAAAACAAAAAAACAATACACACAAAAGTAAATTATTTTGCAATGCCTTTATTTTTAATTATCAGTTGTCAACTGCCTATCTCTTTACAATAAAAGTTTATAAGAAATCTACATAGATTAGGCTGCCATTTTACTAACTTAATCAGGTAGATATGAAACAATGACATATTTTTGGCAACGTCTCAGATATTAGTAAGATGACTGATTAAATATACTTAAACAGTTGGTCTGTTGTCAAATCAAATTTTCACAAACAACTATAGTTCTATCACAAAACCTAAGTATCTTAGTGCTATCTTATTTTGAGAATACCAACTAGCATGCTCGCTAAGCTTGAAGATTTTAGGTACATGTACATTAAAAGAAATGGAGATGCTGGCAATTAAAATTTCCACAATTTCATTTACACAGGAAAATTTAGTTAGTTATTACAAAAAACTGATAAACCGTTCAGTTGTTCAAACAGCTTATTGATTACAGATATACATCATGTTTTTTCTCGTCTAGCGTATACTAAAAAAATCAGATCAATCCATAAAAATGAAAGTAGGTTCATTATACCAAGTTTCTTTCATTATGATATGGCAAAGAATATATACGTGTACTTACAAGTAGTATGTGTTATTGGTTTCTATTTAAAACAAAATGTTTGATTACTATAATGCTATTTACAACTAAATAAAGTACATCCTTTTCAGCAATAATAGCATGCCAAGTTCCTTACAAGAATAAGCAGACATAAAGTGATTGACATTCTGAGCAATTTAGTATTTATTGTAAACAGCTGTAGAAAATATTCGCATAAATAAATTAAACGTTTTTGTGCATTTTCCTGCTTTAAACCAAATCAGTCTAAGTTCAGGGTCATCGTCTAAATACCGAATCATCTGGGAACTATGAAGTAGAATGTTATATCGCATATTATCTAGTAAATAGATAAGGCTTGGTGAAAACAGAAAATTTCGATGATGCTTAACAAAGTGTTAAGGTTTGTAGACATCTCTGCTAAGGTTTGTACAATCAAAATATCAATTTGTGGTGGAGTGAAAAATGTTTGTTCACTTAAGCAATACTATTTTCAAGTTTTATTAGATCATTCTACTTACATGCTAACTTCTGAAGACACTAAATAATCTCATCAAAAAGATCAGGAGAGTAATGATAATGTAAATTTTAAAGTGCTATTCCCATAGGAAAAATTTAAAAGAGTTGTGTTCTTAATAAATTAATAACATTTGGTGAGTTATTTAACTACCAGTATCAATGTTTAAAAATAGTTATTGTGAATTTATTAGATAGATAACTATTCAAAACTGTGACTAAATAAGCAGGTTGAACGTCATTTTGTTTAAAATAAGTAGATAATGTCGGTCTAAATTTTATTTTTAAATATAAAAATGACATTTAATCCCCTGTGATAATTTAAAATGTGTCCCATCTATAAAATGGTTGAGAGACTGGCAATTATTTACAAGGAGTATAGCTATTTTTCTTCAGTACGACGTTAAAATGTAATGAACAAAGCTATTTCTCTAACATTTTCAGTGATGTCACTGAACATTTCATTGTATTAACTGCTTAACATTATTAAGTAAAGTACTCAGTTAAATCTGTCTTTTACGCTGGATATTTTTCTGGTTGTTACTTTCCTAAGTATGTAAAATTAACAGCAGTTACATCCAGTTTTCTTATTACCTTGTTGATTTTTGAGTTTTTCTCTCCTATAGCCTATCAATGAAACCATGCTTACTGCAGCGTGTGAGTGTCACCATGTTAATCGTAGACTATTAATAAGTCTTAATTGATAAAAAGTCTTGTTTGAAAATATGAAAAAATATAAGGAGCTGAAATATTGATGTTTTGGTAAGACACGATGGCCAGTGGAAGAGTTGTATATTTCATTTAGCCTTCAAAGGTTGTTCGTAGAGATAAATCAGTGAGATAATTGTTACAAATGGAATTTGTTAATCTTAGTTTTATCACATGAAGTGGTAGAATCTGTATAAAGGATCATGAAATTTCGACAAGTTTGGTTTAAATTTGGAAATGTGAGCCACTAAGTAGATGGTTGATTAGTAACATGTTTGTTACGATTTTAGTTGCATCCACTGCCGGATTTTAGCCTCGTTTAGCTTTCGTAAAGTACCCATCATTTCTAATTTCTTTCATCTTTCAAGTATCATGAAGTACGTAGTGGCAATGCTGCATTATGGAAAAAACTTTATACTCGAACAGGTACTTAAAGTGTCGGAATATCATGTAATTTATTATAAAACTCATTAGAACGGTTGATTGCTTAATTATAATAAACTGGTAAGTCTTCAATCGAATCGGCAGATTAATATTTGCATAGTAACAGAGTATCAGTTTGATTGGTTCAGATTACAAGATCGTAGCCAATTTAATTGTGTCAGTTTGTTAATAAAAATACTCTAGAGCTTGGAAATGTTTCAAAAGCTTTTCGCGTATGCTAAACAGTCAGAGTATTCACATAAATATTAATATTTTTGGCACTGTATTCTCACAATCTTGGTCACAAACGAGGTGTGAATTAGCCACTAGTTTGTTAGTTTCCTAAATATCAACTAAAACCCTTCAAAATATTTAAAGTTCTGCATAAGATAACATTTATTTAAGTGCACTGAAATCTCTAGTGTTAGAATTATAACCTAATAAGACCGACTGTTTTATAGTTCGTCAAACTAAGTCTAATTTATGGAATTTGTATGTTAAACATCATTCAGAAATCGAGAAGTTTTTCTTGAAAAAATTATCCTAAACATTCTCATTTGAAAACAATTGATAAAATGATCATTAACGTTTATGACAAATATTTCGCTAGAAACAAAAAAAAAAGAATAATTTTATTTGTTTGTTGAAAAGAAACTAAATGAAATATGGGAAAATCCAAATCAACTGTGAATAAACACTTGTCCTCATAAAAAAAATTCCATTCATACAGTTTGTCTCATTTTTTGTTGTTGTTGTTGAGGTTCATTGTTTCTCTTTTCTTATTGAAGTAATGAAGGAATGAATGAATGAATGTTCTCTGTCTCTATTTTGCAAAAATAATATTTGCAAAACTTGTTTTGTAGTAAATGAGTAAAAAGAAAATAGACTGAAAAATTGCCATCCATTTTTGTACATTTACTCTTTCTAACTTACAATATGATTGGCTAGTTTTGTTTGAATGTTTAATTGGCTGAAAATATTTAAGTTGATGATATCTAAATTTAAACGGTAACTTTAATTTTCAAAATGCCATTTTCATCTTCTATGTAGCATGATGAGAATCTTTGGCATTAATTTGTTTCTTGCCTTATTTTTTGATTGATACACTTAAATGAAAATGCATGAAAAAAAAATTTAAAATACTTTCAATAAAACAAAATGTGATCCTGTATTTCAGTGTAAATAGTATGTTTTGGATAACGTTTGAAAAGTTCACCAATTCTATTCAGAAGGATATTATTGTGAAGACACGAATAATTCTATTGATTATTTTTATAAATTTATTGTTTTTCACTTCTAAGACAACTGAAATTTCTCCGGAAATGTTTAATTTATTTGAATCAGTTATGTTTAAAAAGAATTCGCCATATTTATCTTATCCAGAGAATATTCCAAGACACAAAGTGGAATTAGTACCAGTAAAATCATCTCCTGAACATGGTAAGTGAATATAATATCATCATAACAAACAATGTTTTATATTTTAAACAGGAATTTAAAAATACTGTAATGTTCTGAATGTGAGGTTGTTAGAAATAGATTCATTTGATCATATATCAACCTAGGTTCGACAGCCATTATAAACTTTGAATCATTGGACGGCTGTTTCATTCTATATAATCTTGAATTTTTTTGTGCATATTTTAAGAATGAGAATGAAATTATTTAGCTATTGGTGTTTGCAAAATATTTTTCAGTCACGTATGGATTTAAATTTTGCGATCGCGAAGTCTACATTACGGAGTAATTTCACTGTTAGACAACTATTTAAATCCTCGAAGTATTAAGTAGCTGTTTTGTTTTTAGCATGGGACTACTCGATGGTAGTGAGCAACCATGAACCCTATTTGACTGGGACGCATTAACTTCAGACCTCACGACATTCATTTAAGCCAATATACGATGATGTAATGTCAAACCTAACTTAATTCGCAACCTTATGCAATCGACTCACTGTCTCAGATGAGTAGCAGTTTCATACTCAACGCTAGAACTCCTGGAAGTGAATTTAGAAGTTAAGCAGGGCATAATCATTTTTCGTATACTTGGATTTGTAGAGATTGTAAAATTTTTATTGAACAAAAAGGCATCTGAACACGATTCTAACAATGATTCATGTATCTGTCATAATAAATACGTGTTGTCATTTCGTAAAAAATGTTTACTTATCTTGATGTAAAATATTTCAAGTAATATTTGACAGAGTTATCTGTAACTTATAAGACAGCCAATTATTTTGACAGTATAACATACGGATTTTATACAATTAATATTGCAGTTGCTTTAATATCATTACAATAAAATTTTTTGAATTGTGTGTTTTTATGTTGAACCATCGAACTGATGGTAAATTAGCATATCATATTGATTGTAGAACCTTGTTCAAACTCCCATACACGTTTGTACGAAGAATAGAAGGCTGAAAATTAGTACTGAAAAAATTAATAATTGCATACTAGGACAATTATAGAACCATTTTTTATGCTATTTTTATCTACAGATTCACTTGTTTAAATATTTTTTTTCGTACTATACTACATTAGCTTGTCTCACTCGTTAAATGTTCGTCAAACTCTTCCAGCTGTTTTATATTGTTAAACTTACCATGTTACAGGTTATATTAAATCTATATATATGTAATATTGATCTCTTCTTAACAATATAGTTGATTTCTATGAGGATAGATCTGTACACAAGTATTTAATTGTTTGTTTAGTTTGTATTTTAGTTCAGATTTCATCAAAATTTCACTGTCTGCGAATTATTTTGAATAGTTTCTGAAGAATTTCGAAATTTATAATGTGATTAACATACTAAACTAATGACCATTTGTACATCAGTGAATTATAATGAAGTAGTGGAACTACTATGATAAAAAGGATAAAATCGGCTTTCAGAGGGTGCTAACTTATCACAAAAACTCTGTTGAATAATCCTCCATCAAAAATCTTCGTTTTTTATTTAATTATTATTCGAACATAATAGTTACCTATTTTCGGGTAGTATAATTACGTTAAATTTCTCTACCAGGTTTACAGCAAGTGTTTTATAATAGAGTGATTGGATTTCAGTAATATTTTGCCTAACACCAGTCATGAAAGAAAGTTAATTGGAAATTCACATCATTAAAAAAATCAATCAATCGAACAGTTTTGATTCAGTAACGCATTTTCATTTACTGGTGTTAGATATCTGTCGATAAAATCAAAATTATTGCTTTTTCGTGAGATGATCTTTGTTTGTTGAGAATTTTTATCGGATGAAATAAACTAGAATAAATTTTTAGGGAATGAGCTTAAATTATGCTTATTCAAACTGTTATATCCTTATAGAAAATACTATTTTTTATAGTTCCTGTTTTATGTATAGCTAGACTATCTATGACGATACAGTTTTATGTAACCCATCCGAATAGTCCATCTTGATTTATACAAGCGTACCGTTATGAATAAAATATTATATATTTTTAGTCATATTCAAACGAAATTTAAGGCTATTTTAGATAATAATAATAAATACTTCACTGATAACTAACAGCAGTATAAACATTAGTTTTACATAGTTCAAGTACTATCGGGCATTTAACAACGAATGGTTATATTAAGAAGTCACTTTCAATAGTTATACAACAACAGAAGTATAAACACTCACTAGGTCTATAACAATAATCGATGGTTTGATGATATTTTCTGAATTGGAAAACTAAACTAAAAATCATTTTCAGTAACTGATTGCTACAGTTCAATTTTTAACTTTCAGGATGTATTTACCGAAGAAAGAATAACTATAAAATAAATTAATTCTACTTCAGGACACACGGTTGGTAAAATATTTAGAAACATTACAATACATCTTTCAGTATTTATCTAGTTTTTTGTATTTATAAAGGACTGTAGATGTAATCAATATAATCAGGCTACACTATCAAATTACAAGCAAAGAAAAATTCAAACGATGTCGATAAAAAAATATCACTGATCTGATCAATGGTGACCTGGAATCTTCGGCTGACAACTACAATTTAGTCTCTTCATTTAAATAGGGTTAGAGATACAAAATATCAACTATTCAGTTACATAATCCTTTGTCAACTAAAAAAATGGACATCCTGAAATCCCGTGAAGATGATTTCATTAAAAATTTCTAAACAAGAAAACTATTTAACACCTATCTAACCAGATTTTACTAACTAATCTACCCCAAAATATTCTCAAAAGATTTGAAAGTTAATTTCACTCCTAAACAACCTAAGTATATAGTCATAAAACAAACAATTATCCTTGAATTGTAAATAAGATTGAAGGCTTTTCTAATCAATACCGAACTCAAAAAGGAAAGTGACTGTCAATGCTTCCTTCTTGCATAACCTATAATGCTTAACTCAGTGACTTTCGTTGATCACCATATCGTATTTTTCAGTTATCTGTGTTTTTAAGTAACTGATTTTTATTCTTCTCGTTTCACTATTTTGTCTTTATATCGAAAAATATGAATTTAGACATTTATATTTGTATTTTTAGACACATTAACTAATTGAAACAGATTTATGTCTATGCTCACAATTTCCTTCTTTATTATTATGCTTTTGCCTACTCAAAAATTTAACTGTCTAGAATTGCCGATATTTATCACCGTTGAATTTCCGTTGTACTTTTTTTGTTTTTTTAAAGATAGATTTCTATTTCCACCGAACAAATCACTTAGTTTTAGTGATTTATCGTGTTTTATTCAAATGAAAACAAACTATTCACATTGTAATCTTGAAAAAAGACCACATGAACACACAAATACAACTAAAATGAAATGACATTAAATACTGAAAGAAAACAATGATTACGTTACTTTGTAGAATGACACTACATTATAAAATAATATTTTATCAAGAATATTGGTCGATTTATTCAATTTAAACTAACATAGGAAGTGGGAAATGAAGTCGCTCTTCAAGATTAGTTAACCATGAAATATCAAACTATTTTGACAGCGGCTAACACACTTCAGATAAACGCAAACTAAACTAAAACGTTAATCAATTTGATGTGAACATTATTGTCAAGTATAAAATCCACCTTTGTATTTGTTTGAAGATTTTATAGAAAATAAATTATCTTAATAAAAAGTTATCATAACTTGTGATTAAAATGACAAGAATTAAACTGAGCTTTTAAAAAAGATGAAAAAGCTCAACTGAAAATAAGTGATTTACTGTTACAAATAGTTAATTATTTTAAATCATGAACTATAGCTCGATATTCTATAATACCACTGAAAATTATTTAATCTCATTTTGTAGTTCACAGTGTTTCATTTATTGTTGACTAAAAGGACAGGGAGCATAAAATGTTCTTTTTGATCTGAATAAGTTGAATAAATTTTTTGAATTAGCCAGTTTCTTTGAAAGCTTTTATTTCTTAGAAAAGCAAGAACCTATTTATTCAGATATAAAATCATTCAGTCAGTTCTTATATTCACTTCAGATTCAACCGTTTGTTGTTCGTTCTTTAAAATAAGATTTGATATTTTTACATGTTCAAAAAGACATGATTCTTGTTTTTATTTGAAGAAAAAAGTGTTTTTATGCATGAACTATTAATTGGTTTATTCTAACCATCAGAAAAAATCTCAATGAATAAGCAGATAAAAACAGAAAATTTCTGAAACTGAACTGTATACTTGCAATAAATAGCCTCTTTGTTTATAAGAATTAATTCATATGAATAAATCACCTAATTGTTATCATCGATTAATCACTTGATACCTTTCCATGACAAAAAACTGCTCAGGCTGCGGTATATTTCAGCACCCTTGATGAGTCCATCGTCAAGTAAGCTCAAAAGACATTATCATCCATTGGCTTGTTGTTTGGGTGAATTTTTCATTCATTATTGAATATCTCGAGAACCTGAATTTCTGGAATATAATCCATCATAAAATCGTTAGGAGACGTTTAAAAACGGATTTGGGGTCAGTCAGTTACAACTTAGGATTTCGTATGTGTGTATGTACATCAGTTCAAGGTGCCATTCCACATTAGCACACGAAGATGGTGTTTTACTGCTAATCATCAATTCATATTATTAAGAAACCAGTGAAACAAAAATGTAAACTTCTCAAATCATCAAGTATTGTGATTTTCTAGCAGTAGATTCCATCTCTGAATAACTTGAACTTGTCACCTGAAACTTGTATTAATGGATGTGTGGAAATTCTCCACTTTACTTTATAATTTCCAGAAACGGTTACACTGATAATAAAGCAAAAAGAATTGTACAAATTGATTAATGTAATCTTTAAAAATATCAGCGCAGTTTCACAAAAGGTTTTCTCCGGGCCAAATTTTCAATTTTTTGTCTTTCACTCTTATTCTGACTTAATAAATTCCTCTAATTAATCGGCTGACTTATTTTCTCTTAGTTTTATCATTCACTCTATAACATTCA